TAGTAATCCAAATTTAATACTGAAAACTAATTAAGTGACCATCGTGACATCTTCTCACAATTATATATCCGCAAAGGACATTAAAGTAATGGACTACGGTCCAATTAATTACGCAACACCGAAGATTATGTATTTTGTTGGTACAAAGAGAACACCGAAACTTATGATATATCTTTTTTTAAAACACTTTATTTTTATTGAAAATATATTACATAATTGAAAAAGTTCAAGAAATGAATTACAAAGAGAAACTAAAAGTCTTTTCGACAAAAAAAATAAAGAAACTAATGGTCTTTTCCGCACTGGGAAAATAAGTGAGGATAATAATTGTTGACAGCTCATTAGCGATACCAAGATGATTTTGTTTCGAATCAAAAGTAGACAGTTATGTTTTCGAATCCACAATAGCAGTCGGACTTCCGAAATCTATTACGATAACATGATAACAATTCTCTTAATTTAGATAAATCTCTTTCTTTGATTGCTTTTTGTCAATTTTGTTCTGAGTTAGTTTCAGTGAAGCCGCCGTTGAACAAGTTTGAACTACAAAACTTAAATCAAATGAATAGCCAAAACTGACTAGAAACTAAACATAAATCTTATAAGAGGGAAAAAACCTCAACTAAAAACATCACCCAAAAAACTAAACACCAATCAAGGGAATCACAAAACTCACAAAATCCAGACGGTGAATAACATTGCAACGTCTTCTGACAAAAAACTCCAATACGTCTTCTAGACTTCATGTCCAACGTAGAAACTACTAGACTTATGGTATATCTTTGTAACCGTTTAGATTGTGGACCCAACGAATTAACAATCTCGATATTCTTTCCACTCAATGCATCATTAGTGGTCAATAATTGCAATAGAAAAATTCAAACTATTTCTATTATAGGGTTAACCATCGACCATTAATGGACCCAAAATTTGGTTATGTCATTATATTGTTTTTAGTTCGCTTAGGTTCAATGGACATTAGTATCCACATTGAGAATTCAAATCACTACTAGCAATATGGAATGAGTCCTCCCCAACCGCAGCCAGCTTACCCAAAGATAGTAAGAATGTGTTTTCTTTTCATTGTCTTTTAGAGTCGCGTTGCTATTTTTCAAGATTATTCTTATCTTCAATAAGAACGGAAAATATCAAATTAATGGGACCAGAAAGATGAAGAAAAAATGAGAGAAGCATGTCCTCTGGTTAATGGTTATGCTCGACACTTAAATGTTTTGCAGACAAGAAGAGAGTGGATTTTTTTTTACATAGATTTTTATCACTACTTAACAAAAAATGGCAGTGTTTTATGCCTTGCAATACGAGTCAGCCACCACTTCTGCCAAGCATTTTACCATAATGTCCCTTGTTCCTTTCCCTAATTGGAACTACTTTTCATACTGGAAAAAAATCTTTCGCGTTTCCCAAAACATTATGCATAGTTGCATACAATGAGTGTAACAGCAGGAGTTTTAACAAATGGTGCATCTAGTGTTATTCTAGGTGACTTAAAATCTAATTAGGCTTGAGATACAACACGGGCCAGACTAGGGTTTACATATGGAGTGGACGGTGTAACTTAAGAATTTTTTTTCCTTGTTGTATCGGATTTGAGACTTATATAAAGGGGTCATAAGGGTTTGTAAGAGATTAAGAGAAGAACATTCACATAATCAATAAAACCCTAGACAAAGGGGTATTCGCCTCAATTGCTTTTGTTTATTGCTTCTTCTTTAATCTTTCATAGGGCCAAATTCACAACAATCGGTATCAGAGCTTTTGCGTCAAGTTGTGATCCTAGGGCGATGGATGGAGTAAGTTCTTTTAAGTTCGAGATTCCACGATTCGATGGTAAGGTGAAACTTTGGGCTATGGCAACGGCGGGTGAAATATATGTTGGTTCCGCAGGGTACGAAGAAGGCGATGTATATAGAAAGGCTAGAGAATGTCACGCAGGATGATTGGGATGAGATACAAGATAAATCAGTTTCAATGATTCGTCTGTGCTTGTTAAACAAGATTACCCAACAGGTAATGGACTCACAACTACGAAACAGA